GAGCAGTGTCTCAGCTAGGCTCTCAAATTAGTTTCCAGGTGCGGTCCCCATGTGTCCAGATTCGCTTAGACGTTTTCCTTCAGCCCAGTTCAGTCAAAAATTTCAGTGTTTGCAAGTCTGGTTATCCAGTTAGGCATCGAGAATTTCATGTATGTCCAGGCACTCAGTAATCTTTCGATGTTTTCAGCTGCAAGAAGGCCATGAAGAGAGTGTCGAACAGAAGGAAGAAGGTCCAGAGAATAAAGAATTGCCTGTTAGGTCACCAGATGATCTCAATGGAAGCGAACCTTCCAAAGATCCCGCTCTCACCGAACATGAGCGAGAGCATCATGAAGAACCAGCTGTGATCGGCGACATTAATGAAGAGCATGGAAAGAAGGATGAATTGGAAGATGATGCCAAACACAAGAAGAATGATAAAGAAGCCGATCATCATCACAGCTCTAAAGAACGACGAAGAAGTTCTGAACGCAAGAGTGATGACCATGAAGCGAACAAAAGGAGAAGTTCTACAGAGCAAAAGGAGGAACGTGAAAGTGATAGAAGTAGGCGCCGGCGATCAAGAGAACGCAGAAGAAGTGGTGAGCGTGATGATGACAGAAGGCATCGTAGAAGCTCAAGGGAACGTAGAAGAAGCGAAGAACGGGAAAGTGACCGAAGCCGACGCAGGCGATCAAAGGAGCGGAAGAGTGAAGAGCGCGATGAGCGTCGCCAGGTTAGTCAATATAAATGTGCAGTGTCTTGGGTTTATTGATGACTGACATTTTTCATTCAGAAGGAAAGCAAAACCAAAAGTCATGCGGAAGATAGCGCTTAGGGCTGCACTGCAAAGGAACTGTTTTGAAGCTGATATCAGCTTTTGTTAAGACTACCGGTCGTTAAGATGATTTTATAAAAATTCCAATTATTTTGCCGCGATCCACAGTTCGCTTCGGAGTATTGTTGGTGATTGCGGCCGTAGGTGTTGTTTTCTCACACTTCGATACTTCAGTGTCGCTGAATCACACAGAGAGCTCTGGTTGTTGCATATGATCCCCTATTTGAAATGTTTTCTCCACCGTCCTTATTCTTAATCATCTATGATATACTATCCATGATGTCTTGTGTAACAATTAATCCTCATCTTATTGCTCTCCTTATGCTAATAAACGTCAGACCAGACAGTAAGTGTGGACTGATTTCCCAGCTGAAGGAGCATAGAATTGGTCCTGTTTGTGTTACACGAAATGTACTACATTTATATCTTCCCAAACTCGTGGATGAAACAACGTCTATGCATTTTAACACATTGACGACTATGCGAATTTTTGGTTGTCTATCTGCAGACAAGAGGTATAGCTCAAATCCGGTAAGACACTACCTTTGTAGTGTTGCTTACGAGTCAGTAACAACCGAGGCTGTAATTATGTGAGGACAATTTCGTATCCAACAGATGAAGCAAGAACAATGAGTGGTTTCCCAGCACCATCTTAGCCCAAAAAAGAATTCAAGACATACAGCTTGAGCGCGTTCCTTAACACACTGACGACCGCTTGACACAC